GTTAGAGAGCTTATTATAAGTAACTTAGCTATACTATTTATACTTATACTATATTCTATTTATATACTAACTAATATAGTTTTTTTTTATTAAAATAATCTAGATAAGTAGCTTAGTAGTAGAGCGCTATAAACTTATATTAGTAGATAGAACTTAGCTTAGATTATTTTACTTTCTATATATACTTACTATTTTATTATAATACTTATTTATAAAAGTTCTAGGTTTAATCTTTAGCTTATTTATTTTTCTTTTTTACTTTTTTTACTCTTTTTTTTTTACTTCTCTATTATAAGATTTCTCTTTATATATAGCTATAATAGTATAATATCTAAAAGCTTCTTAAAAGTAGTAGCTTTATATAGTAGTATAATACTTAAAAGCTTTTTAAAAGAGTAGTAGCTCTAAAAGCTTTTTAAAAAAGTAGTAGTCTAAAAGCTTTTTAAAAAAGTAATAGCTTTAAGTAGTAGTATAATATCTAAAAGCTTTTTAAAAGAGTAATAGCTCTAAGTAGTAGTATAATATCTAAGAGCTTTTTAGAAGAGTAGTAGTCTAAAAGCTTTTTAGAAAAGTAGTAGCTTAAAAGCTTTTTAGAAAAGTAGTAGCTCTAGGTAGTAGTATAATATCTAAAAGCTTTTTAGAGAAATAGTAGCTCTAAGAGCTTTTTAAAGAAAAGAGAAGAAATAGTAGCTCTAAGTAGTAGTATAATATCTAAAAACTTCTTAGAGAGAAGTAGTAGCTCTAAGTAGTAGTATAATATCTAAGAGCTTCTTAGAGAAAAAGTAGTAGCTCTAAGTAGTAGTATAATATCTAAGAGCTTCTTAGAAGAGAAAGTAGTAGCTCTAAGTAGTAGTATAATATCTAAGAGCTTCTTAGAAGTATAGTAGCTTTATATAGTAGTATAATATCTAAAGAGCTTACTTAGAAGTATAGTAGCTCTATATAGTAGTATAATATCTAAAGAGCTTACTTAAAATAGAAATAGCTCTATATAGTAGTATAATATCTAAAAAGCTTACTTAAAATAAAAATAGCTTTATATAGTAGTATAATACTTAGAAAGCTTATTTAGAATAGAAATAGCTTTATATAGTAGTATAATATCTAAAGAGCTTTTTAGATTAGAATTAGCTTTATATAGTAGTATAATACTTAAAAGCTTTTTAAAATAGAAATAGCTTTATACTATAGTATAATACTATACTTATATAGTAATTAATTTACTATATATTTAATAAGCGTTTAAATTAAGTATTCTACTACTATATAAACTTATTTAGCGTAAAAAAAGTATATAATAAAAGCTTTAATTATATAATAGAACTACTCTCTATAATTAGATAATAATAGAATATATTTTACTACTTTTTAAATATATTATATACTTTTAGTATATTTTACTACTATTATATAAATTACTAGTTACTAAATATATATATATAATAAATTATATTATATTATATTTTAGTATTATACTAGTATTTGTAATTACTAAATAAGCTTATAGAAGAGAAGAAGGTACTATCTATTCTAATATAGAAAGATAGTAACGTTAATAATAGTAGTACTAAGAATATTAATAATAATAATAATAATAGTAATAGAGATATTAGAAGTTACTATAAATAGTAAGCTCTTATATATACTAACGCGCTATACCTTCTAAGTATACTTATAGTAAATTACGTAGAATATTTACTCTTCTAGTACTATCTATATAGACGCTTCTTAGTATACCTTACTAAAATTTAGTATAAAAGTAGTTAGAAGTAATCTCTTTTAGCTATAATTAATATTATCTTTATAATACGTAGGTATTAGCTATTCTCTAAGTTATCTAATAGTAATTTAATAGCTATTATCTAAAGTTAGAATATTAGTAATAATAGAGCTTTAATAGCGTAACTTTAGATAATAAACTTCTAATAGCACTTTACTACAAAGATATACTATTATAGCTCTATTAACCTCTCTATATTACGCGCTATAGTGTTAGCCTATTAGAAATATTATTTTACTGTCTTAAGTATTAGCTTATCTAGCTTAGCCTTTCTTAAATAGAAACTACGCTATAACTACTAAGTAACCTACTATTTATAGTGTTAGTAGTTAGTAGAGTAGATTAGCTATATACTAGTAGCTATTTAAGGTATATAACTATCTAGCACAGTAGGTACCTAGGTAACACTAACACTAACAAGCTACAAGATTATAAAAAGCACTAAAGTAGTAATTATAGTAGAATTTATTTTATAGTTTAATATTAATACTACTAAAATATCTATCTAAGATTATACTTTTTTATTACAGAGAGCTGTGCTCTATATAAATTATCTCTCTAGTATATATATTCTTATACTTAGCAGATCTTCTAGTATTAGGTTTATAATTACTAGTATAGCACTATTAAATAGAGCTACTATTATTATCTCTAGATTCTAGTAAGTAAAAATTAAAGATAAAGTCTATCTTCTTTAATCTCTATATCTATCTCTTCTTTTAGAAAATGTTATTAGCTATGTAATTAACTTAAAAGATTCTAAAAATCTTAATTTAAATCTAGAAATAATATTTAAGATAATTATATTAAATAGTAGTAAAAAGTTAGATTATATTGTATTTATAGTAGAAGACTACTATTTAATACCTAAGCTCTTAGACATTACTTTTAAGTAAGCAATACTTAGTTCTAAAATCTAACTTATTACGCTCTTATTTATTACTAAACTTATTAGTACTAGAGCGTATATACATCTTACGTTAAATTTATTCTTTACGCTTATAGAAGAAATTAAAACTATAAAGCCTCTGCCTAGATAGCTAATTCTAGTAGTCTAGAGAGTATCTATAGAAGAATTATTGCGTAGGCTTGTAGTTAATCTTGCGCTGCTTTAGGTAAATATTATTAAACCTAGCGTAATTAAGATAGAAATACTACAAGAATTATTAGCCTTAATACTAATAGAGGCAAAGAAAGGCATAAAGAAGCAACTTAATCTACTAGGTACTTTTAGTTAGCTAGAGAACATTGCTAAAGCGTATAGCTAGATTATAAAGAATCGCTTTGTAACAGGCACTAAAATAGCTGTAGATAGTGGATAGATGCTTTTAAGCAAATAGCTAGAAATAGCATCTATTGTATTATTGTTAGGACTTTGCTCTACTCTATGTACAGAGCTTCCTCTATCTTATACAGAACAGTTACATATATCTCTCTTTGTGTTCTACAAATAGAAGATCTTTCCTGTGCGGCCGTCTTGAGAAGCCGATTTCCCTGCTACACTATTAGAGTACGAGTCTCTGTTGAAGACGACTTCGGAACGTCGTAGGTATCAAGTGGCGTTTAATTTGGGCAAATACATTAGATGAACACGCTAAAAGGGCGACATTAGGACGCATAGGCACGATCTGTGAACATTGCAGGACACATAAGACATTATGGCAAGCGATACAGCCCTGGAGGTGTTATCTGATCAATGTCTCTGAATTTGACTCGATACCAAAGTGAAAGCAATTATCATAGCTCACAAAAAACCCAGATCTAGGCTCCAACTTCGTGTGAACATCCACTAAACCGACCAATTCTTAAGTCACGAACGCATCTATCAACTCGCTAGCACAGCTCGCTTGTCACGAGTGCATTCCACCCCGTCTATTGTTCCCTAAATTGCGCCACAAACACACCATCAAACAACATGAACAATGTACCCAACCCTCCACCCTCCGGCCCAGCGCAAAAGCGACGGAAAATGTCACTCTTCGACACCTTCCGCGGGCGAAACGGGGGAAGTTCCACCTCCTTCATAACCACCTCCAACACCGGCATAATGGACACAACGCACGGCTCCGAAACCGACGAAGAAGACAACGAGGACGAAGCACAAGAGTATCTCAACAAGATGACCGACGACACAAATCGAAAAGTCGAAACCGTATTCGGCAAAGGCGTCGAAGTGTGGAAATCGTTCAACGGCACTATCTACGCCGATGTAAACGACAAGGTCAAGAGGAAACAGCGAGACGAAGAGGTGTGGGGGAAAAAGAGGAAACGTGGTGTCGCGGACGGGCAGGGGAAAGTGTTGGAACAGCGATTTGATTCCCTGCGGAACTCGACGTCTTCTTCTAGTTCTACCTCTACTGCTGCTTCTACGCCAACACGAGACCTACCGCAGAGTACGTACTCCGACAGTACGATTTCATACCCTTCACTGCCAACCAGATACGATACCTCACTTCCATCTACACCTACAGCGTCGCAATGGGAGAACTTTCAGGTGCGGCCGTCTCAAGAAGCGGATTTCCCTGCTGCACCCTTGGAGTATAAGTCTCTGTCGAAGACGATGTCAGGGCCTAGAGGTACGGGTGCAAGTATGCCTGGCAGCTTCGATCGGCCCATCAAGCCGTTACCAGCACGTGTACACCAGATGGAGGCGGTTCAGACGACGGACAATACGTCCACATCACCGCGGTCAGATCTATCAAACTCCCAGGTACAACCCGTCACTCCTCCGCCCTCTACGCCAACAAGCTTTCTCGGCAGCATGCTAGGCGGGGCTCGCAGGGTGATATCAGGGTCTTTTGGTAATTTCGAAAGTACACAGGCGGACCGATTTGATGAGCGGAGGTATAGGCTGTTACCAGGAAGCTTCTGTGAGGCTGGCGAGAAGCAGAATGTCGATGATGGAGAAGAAGATCGAGATGCGAAGCATGACAAAGTGGAAGGAAGACCTTGGCTGAGGAAGGGGTAGGTGGGTCGGTGTCTAGTGTGATAGGCAAGACGGGAAAGGTACAAGAGTGGCTGGCTCCAAGTGTTGTGTCACAGGCCTTGTGTTGTCGTTCCACAGCAGCAAGATACATAGTCAAATGGGTTGAAGAGACATATGATAGGCACCGGCAAGCAAGTCGAATTCCACGATCATCATCCTCTCTTCTTTCATATTCCTACACAATCAATAGCTGGGGTATAATAAACAACGTCGTACAAAAACTCGCGGACGATCCTACTCGTCATCGTCGTATCCATCTCCTACAGCGGCCCATCCGCACTGCCATCTCCTTCCCTCACTTTCACCACCCATACGGAGGTCTCTAGCTTGGCTCCCTTCTTTCCATCGTCGGACGCGGAAGTCGTCGCTCACACTGATCAAGCTGCCGTTACGCGCCCATGATACGCTCGTGACTTCCGCATCGTGTCCTCGTATGAGAGCTGTGCCGTGTTCGTAGATGGGGATGGTGTCTGGGCAACGGCTGTTTGTTGATGTGCGGGAAAGCGTGGGTCGTGCGGATTTCGCGGCAATGCCAGTAATATCAGGTAGGTCATCTGCGTCGTCGTCGTGTCTTGTTTCGCGTTTGAGGAAGTTTTCGTCGGTGGGGAACAACACGGGGCAGCCGTCTGTGCTGCCTACTGCGAGCATCTCGGTGCGGTCTTCGCATGCTTTGCGTAAGGATGCCTTGACGTAGAAGGAGCCGGCATGGAAGTTCTGGTGCCGGAAACCGTAGATGGGTCCTAGGCCTTCTTGGCCCACACCGCAGTATTTTTGTTTTGAGGAGGAAGTTGTGGATAGCTCTGGTGCTACGCCGAGGATGAGGTGGCTTGTCGAGTAGGCGTAGACAGTGTTGTCTTTGCTGAGGGCGTATAGTCGTGATGCATCGCCGCTAAGAGTCAAGGAGTTGATAGCAAAGTGTCGGTGGCGGTTGTGGGATTCGGGATGGCGGGTGGTTGCGATGGGGATGGCTGGCCCTCGCAGGGAGTATCGGCCTCTGATGTCCCAGAGTTTAACGCATGTCGATGCGTCTGACGCGGTCAGGAGTAGATGTTCGCGGCCTGCGGGCATGAACGAGAGCGCTGTCACCGAAATGTCGTTCCGTCGGCTAATGTTTTCGGTTTTGCTGTTGGAGAGTGATCGGGTGGCCGACGATGTGGATGTCGGGAGAGTAATATCCGCGTGCGCTGAGGCCAGCGTGCGTACAACACTTGCATATGGCGCATCGGAGCCCCAAGCTGAGTGTATTGAGCCTTGGTTGCCCTTGCACCGGAGATCCCAAATCTGTACCGCACCGTCTCGACTTGAAGTCGCTACCATCTTGTCGTCGCCGGGCTGGAAGCGAACTTGCTTTACTGATGACTTATGTTTCGCCAGCACAGCAAGAGTCTGTTGCGTGCGAACATCGACAATCTGTGCAGTCTGATCTCCAGAACCGGCGGCGAGGTGTAGGTCGTCTGAGGAGAACTGCACGTCCATGATGGCGTTGGAGTGGGCTTTCCATGACACATGGGGTTTGGAGAAGTCACCTTCGGAGTCTTGTAGGTGGATGTATCCGTCTTCATCGCCTATTGCGAGCATAGAGTTGGCTAGGGGTTGTCAGTATCGTGATGACGTAGGGTAATGAGTGAATGACATACTGTTGCAACTGGCCGTGCAGAAGGGCGGCGCGCCCTGCGACAACTGATGTAGGTCGTCTGCGCCACTGTAGAAATTGGCTGCCTGGTCTTGCCATGAGGCGCCATGGTCTCGTCGAAACCCTCTTCCTACACCCAGGATCCCACCGAACGACCGCTGCAATGTTCTTGACGGCCGACCCAATGTTGTTAACCTTCGGATGGGCGCAGGGTATACAGGAGGCTCCTCTTCATCCAAGTCAAGCTCGTCTTGAAGTATATCGATTTCGGGTGGAGTGACGTAACGCGATCGCTTCGACGGTGACGACTGGGCTGGTGAGCTAGCGGGCGACAGGTAGGGTATCTTCCGCTTCCGCGCGCTGCTCTGGGGGGTTCGCATTGGGTTCTCGATGTCGACGAAGTTGACTGTCTTGCGTGGGGTGCTCCGCGTCTCCCGGCTGCGATTGAGAGCAGATCGTGTGATGTCTTGTAGTTGGCGACCCGACCTCGTGAGGGTGGTGCGTGATGAGACATCTTTGGAGTTTCGCGGGGTGAAGAAGCGTGTAAAGCGCTTGGGCGTGATAGGCGGTGGCCGTTTGGGTTTGCGAGAGCAAACAGTCGCGGAGGAGGGTGGAGGTGGTGATGAAAAGAGCTCCGGCGTGGGCTCTTGGAGCAGCAGACTTCGAGGGGCGCATGGAGAAGACATGTTCCTTTTTAGCAGTACACATACACAAGCAACACCAATAAACGATCAAGCGAAGACACGCGAGCAATTGAAGATGCCGATAGGGATAGAAGACGAATGCCCATAAATGACGGCGAGGTTGGAGAGGAAGGCGCACGGCCAAAGCACGTCGCGAAGAGCTGGCGCGACCGACGTGCTGCACTATGCCGTTCTGGGCGTTAATGGCCATGGCCTTCCCTCGAGATATCCTCCCGTTTGCCGTACAACACAGCTAAAAGTTCCGAAATTGCCGCAGAAAACACCGTGGATGCAAATTTCATTTCATTTTGTGGTCTAAGATTTCCTATAACTCGTGAAAGCTGTTGCATCGAGGAGTCGCTCTCTTTCGCGCGCGTTGCCCTGCCACTCTAGCTCACGTGCCAGCCGCGGCTTCCCTGTCGTCGGGGGTCGGAGAATCTGCGCGCATGGACCCACCAAAAAAGTCGAAGAGCATATGCGACGAACTCTTGGCGCAAACCTGAGTACCACCACCCTCTCCACAGCCGGAGAACTTGCGCATCATGGGCGCAATCAAACGAAAAGCAGAGCAAGGCGCCGCGCCATCGAAAAAGGCAAAGGGCGCATCCACCGACCGATCAGCGAAGCGACGGAAATCCGATGCCGAGCAGCCATCACCGGCCAAGTCGAAGCCTGAAAGCGCCGCACCCAAGCCCAGTGTTTTCAAAGATGAGGAGAAGTCGTTCCCCAGAGGAGGCGCCAGCGTCTTGACGCCGCTTGAGCACAAGCAGATTTCGATCAAGGCGAACCAGGATGTTCTTTTCGAGCAGTCTGGCGAAAAGCGACCCAGCGGCGGCGACGAGGGATTCAGCGACATGGGATCCGAGGACGAGGAGAGATCCGCCGCCAAGTCCAAGAAGAAGCCGCTGCTCAAGAAGAGCAAGAAGTCGCACGACAGTGGAGAGAAGGACGACACCGTGAGGGCAGAGGGTCTGAGCTACAAGGTACGCCAGTCTCTGCGCAATGTAGGGTCATGCTAACGATCGCAGAAATTGTCGCCTGGAACCATCATTCTCGGCCAAATCACAGACATATCTCACCAAGACATCGTCCTCGCGCTCCCCAACAACCTCGTTGGTTACGTCCCGCTCACCGCCGTGTCCGACAAGCTCAACGAGAGGCTGGAGAAACTCCTCAAGGAGGAAGAGGCGGACAAGCAAGAAGGAAGCGACGATGAAGACTTTGAAGATGTACACCTAGAGGACATGTTCTCGGTAGGACAGTATGTCCGCGCATGCATCACAGCGACAAGCGACGCCAGTGCAAGAGCACGAAAGAGGCTGGAGCTGTCCATCGATCCCAAGCTGGTGAACAAGGGCCTCAGCAAGCGCAAAATACCCGTAAACAGCATGGTGCAGGCTTCCGTGGTCAGCAATGAGGACCACGGCTTGGTCATGGACCTCGGCCTCGACGATAGCAGCCTGAAGGGCTTCCTGCCAAAGGGCGAATTAGGTCCCAAAGTGCAGCATGCCAAAGTACAAGAAGGCGCCGTCTTCATGTGCTTGGTTACTGGCCTTAACTCGGATGGGCGCATTGTCAAGCTCTCCGCAGACCACACCAAAGCAGGCAACTTGACCAAGGGCAACACGCTGACTGAAGCGCCCACTGTCGACATTTTCCTCCCAGGTACTGCTGTTGATATACTTGTTACCGACACCACAGCCAGCACGCTGACCGGCAAGATCCTCGGTCTCATAGACGCAACCGCCGACGCATACCATTCTGGAGCGACTGAGAAGGCTGCCGATATCTCCACCAAGCACAAGATCGGCTCCAAAGTCAAGGCCCGTGTCCTGTTCACATGTCCAGACTCCGAGCCCAGGAAGGTCGGTGTGTCATTGCTAGACCATGTGGTTAGTCTGTCCACCCGCATGTCTGGCAAACCCAAGGAGCGCAAGCCTCCGATCGACCTCCTCCCCATATCCACCATCGTCGACAGCGCGAAAGTTATCAAAGTAGCGCCAAGCCACGGTGCTTTCTTCGATCTCGGCATTAAAGATGTTGTCGGTTTCGCGCACGTTTCGAGACTTTCTGACGATAAGGTCAACGTTCTCTCCGAAGAGGCTGGCGCATACAAGCTTGACTCAAAGCACAAAGCACGCATTGTAGGCTACAATGCTTTGGACGGGCTCTTCCAACTTTCGCTCGAGCAGAAGATCCTGGACCAGCCCTTCCTTCGCATTGAGGATATTAAGGCTGGTGAAGTTGTCAAGGGCAAGGTGCACAAGCTCATCGCTGACAAGAAGGGAGCTACCGCCGTTCTTGTTCACCTTGCCGAAGGCATCACCGGTTTAGTTCCAGAGATGCATCTGGCCGACGTCCGCCTACAACATCCGGAGCGCAAGTTTAGGGAAGGTCTGCCTGTTACAGCCCGTGTGCTTTACACGGAACCCGCCAGGCATCAGATCCAACTCACCCTAAAGAAGTCTCTCGTCAACTCAGATGTTAAGCCATGGACAAACTACTCCATGCTCTCCAAGGGTGCTACTGGCCCTGGTATCCTGGTCAGCGTTCGCAAGAATGGTGCCACCGTACGCTTCTACGGCGACGTCAAGGCATGGCTCCCAGCTGCGGAGATGAGCGAAGCATACATCGAGGATGCCACGCGACACTTCTCGGCCGGTCAGGTCGTCAACGTCCGTATTGTCTCAGTAGACGCAAAGGAGAACCAGCTCTTGGTATCCTGCAAGGATCCCGCTGCCGTTGACATTAACAAAGAGGCTGCTTTCAACGCACTGAACCCTGGTGGTATCGTCAAGGGAACTGTCATCGAGAAGTCCGATGAAACCGCTACTCTGGACATTGGCCATGGTGTCAAGGCTACCCTCCGCATAGGTCACCTAACCGACGGATCGGAGAAGAAGGACATTTCGACCATGAAGAAGATTCGGGTAGGTGGAACTCTCGAGGACCTTGTGGTCTTGACAAAGCATGGCAAGTCTAGGACGGCAACAGTCTCGAACAAGCCTAGTCTTCGAAAGGACGCTCAGGCTTCAAAATTGGCAATCAGCATTGAAGATCTCCAAGCTGGCGAGACGGTACATGGCTTTGTGCGCGGCATTCTTCCTGACAAGATTTTCATCGAGCTTGGCAACGGCATAAGCGGTGTTCTATTCAAGTCGCAATTACCGGAAGACATGCTTTCAGCGCCAAACTTTGGTCTTCGCAAGGATCAGTCTGTCACTGCTCGTGTCACACATGTGGACGCTGGGAAAGGATTCTTTTGGCTGTCGATGAAGAGTGAATCTGATCCGGAAGCGGCCAACGTCGTTGATGCTCCAGCTTCGAAAGGGGAGGCCTTAGTAGAACCTGTCGACCCCAAGATCACATCTACCGACGACATCAAATTCGGCACCCTAGCAACAGTTCGCATTCGATCGGTCAAAGACACACAACTCAACGTTGAGCTTGCGGCAAATGTTCCAGGACGTATTTCGGTCTCAGAATTGTTCGATGGTTGGGATAGCATCCCAGACAAGAAGCACCCAACAGCACATTTCAAGATGAACGACAAGATCCAAGCCAGGGTTCTCGGAAGGCACGATGCCCGCAATTTCCGTTTCCTCCCCATCACTTCCCGATCAAACAACAAGACGCCCACTTTTGAGATGACCGCAAACACCGATAAAGTTAAGACTGAAGCCGACGTGTTGAGCCTTGACAAAATCACCCCCGGATCATCTCATGTCGCCTTCATCAATAACATTGCCGAGCGTTACGTCTGGGTGAACATTTCCGCCAACGTTCGCGGTCGCATTGATTACTTTGATCTGACTGACGACCTGGAGAAGCTTTCGGACGTTGCAGAGAATTTCCCCGTTGGCTCTGCTCTCAAGGTTCGCGTCAAGGCGGTCGACGTTGCAGCCGGAAAGTTGGATCTAACAGCTGCGACCAATGTGACTGGCAAGTCATTGACCCTTCAAGACTTGAAGGTAGGTCACATCTTGCCTGCGCGTGTCACAAAGCTACACGACACATCCATCGTCGTCCAGATCAACGACAACATTGCTGCACCCATATTCCAAGAGCAGTTGGCAGACGACTACGACAAGGCCAAGCCTAGCGAGTTCAAAGTCGGCGACGTCTTGCGCGTGTGTGTAATCGACATCGACCTTCCAAACAAGAAGCTGGGACTGTCTATTCGGCCTTCTAGGGTATTGAGCTCTTCACTCCCGATCAAAGACCCCGAGATCAAGGACAGGGATCAGCTTAAAGTGCATCAG